AATACATAAAAATGTATAAATATATAGATAAACAGATAAAATGTTTCAAAAGCCTGTCAGTAACTGGGTTGAAAATTTAGCCCTAAATTTGGTAAAATTTAAAGTCCGTTTACCAAGGTGTCACAACTTTAAGGACCATTACAGTGAGTAAAATTAGCATATAATAAATAATAATAAATATAATAATAAATAATAATAGTAACAGTATATACAAATATAAATACACTATAAACTATAATAAAAATAATTAAAAATATAATAAATAAAAAATTATTAAAAAAATATTTTTATTTTAATATAAATTAAAATGAAAATATTTTTGCATATTTGAAGGTTTGGATACAGTTGAAGAAGTCAAGACCTCTGACAGGCCAAAATCCACATTTTAAGAAGGAGGATACAATCATTACTTTCTATGTTAGGTTATTTTTCATGTTTATCAAACATATGTAGGATACACTAAGCTACAGCTCAGTATACTGTATTAATGGAAAGCGTCAGAACCTGTCAAGGCGGCACATGTACTGTAGGACATGCCCTCGGACATAACCTTTTAACACTTCGACCACGGTGCAGACATCTGCTCCATCCTCTCCGTAGTTCACTGACAAGCTACACAAAATCGCGTTCATAATCGACAATGAATCGCCTGCGATTTTGAACGCGATTTTGTGTAGCTTGTCAGTGAACTACGGCTCTGTGTAGTAAATGCCGCTCCATCTGAACGCACGTGCTGGAGATTTACTACTAATCACAGGAGCGCCTTTACTGACCAGATGCGCATGAAAATCGCATTCGATTATTTGCACAGCCCTAGCCCTGCAGTTAACAGTTCTGTTTTCTTTCTGCATTTTTGTTTTATTTAGGACTCCGCCAGTGTCCTCCCTCCACCCCAGCGCTCACGCTATTTTGGAGAGCAGTGGCTTGGAGAGCAGTCAAGTTTGATTAATTTTGGTATTTGGGTACAGTATGTTCCTGGACACACATCTGCGAGCAATCATAAATGCTCCAGAATGCTGGCAGAACATCCAGACCTGCCGGCAGCTGATGATGTCATCAGTGCGAGGGAAGAGCTGGCGTGTCGCCAAGCTCCAAGCACAGGGCTTCTCCCAGACAGAGAGAGAGAAAGACAGAAAAAAGAGAAAGAGACATTAAGAGAAAACAACTTGACAAGGCTTTTCAGCCTGAATGCCGCACATGATTGAAGATTCGCTCTCGTTTCTGCTTCATGTCATCCGTGAACAAGTGCGACGGCGAATTACGAGCAGATTAAATGTGGGAGTAACTGAATATTGTTGCCAGTGTTTATGATATTGTAGCGTCTGGACCAATCAAGTTGACCCTGAGAGGTCAGCTAAATATCTACAGCGGATCTAAATATTTATAATTAATTATAACTAGTTATGATTAATTATTCATATTTCCCCATGAGCTGATTCGCTACAATATTGATTTATAGCAGATTAGGAGGGTTGGATTTAGGGACAAAATAATAAATCTCTTCCTCTCGCCTTTATAAACACACAAAAAAGAGGCAGACAGAGAACAAGAGATAAAAGAAAGAGGAATTTTCAGTTCATTTGGTGAAGAGAGCTGTCAGAATCTTGACACAAACGTGTGCTGATAAAGTCAAGTGAGGTGGGCTTCACAAACCCTTCAGAGAGACGACTATAGACTTAATCAGACAGATGGACACACGCTCACACACACACACACTTCCTGCTGCCAGTCTAAGTGTATTTCCCCTCCACTTGAAATAGGACATTCCCCTCTAAAGCACAATTTAGTTCAATAAGCATCAATCACACTGTAGCATCCCTGATACTGAAGCCAGAGCCTTGATCTGAAAAAGTAGTTTTGAATCCTGCCTGCGACATGTTGCAATGTCATTTCTCCATTTTTCATAAATAATGTCCCTTCTCTGTTATCATAAAAGTGACAAAAACACTTCCTAATATTTTAAAATTCAAACCAATAGTGATGGACTGATATATAAAGTATATACAGTATATATATATATATATATATATATGTAATTTTTTAGTAATTTGTGTGCTCATATATATATAGGAGAACACAAATATATATATATATATATATATATATATACAGCATATATACAGTATATATATATATATAAATATATATATATATATATATATAGATAGATAGATAGATAGATAGATAGATATAGTACAGACTGATTTTTTTGACGGATATTTTAAACATTTTTTGAGTCTATATTTAAGAAAGTATAAGTGTTTTTTGGGCATATTTGTGTGCATATAATTACTATTGACTGAAATATAATAGTCTGTATCATATATAAAGTGGGGTAAACTTTTCACTAAAATTGTTATGCTGATAACAGGGAAGGTTTTATGAATTTGAGGAATAAATTGAATGGAACATAATACGTCAATATGGTCTCTAAATGTCTTGCATTAGCAACGCTTCAAAGTTAGATAATGCAACTTCCAACAGATTTCCATATACAATACAATACAATACAATACAATACAATACAATACAATAAATAAATAACATTCACTGTACCTTCTAATCACTGCAATAAAGTGATGTTCTTCCTCAGTATTTTTATTTCCTTTTAGGGCCTTAATTTGTAAAAAGGTGAATTAAGACTTTTAAAGACCCACATAAACCCTGTGATAATATCATTGTTTTTTTTAAATAAATTAAATTTTTTTACATAGGACAGGACATACAAGATATAGATGGACAACACCATAAAACAGAAAGAAGAAGAACAACAACAACAACAAAAATTGGTTTCACGTGTGATTATGTGAAGCATGGGGGTGCAGTTGTGTTGTGTGTATAAATATCTATTAAATCTGCATCTAAACATATAAATATGAAGAAGAGTGATGAAGAGAGAAGAAAAAAATCAAATGGTAATATCATTTGTAATTTAAAACAAATGTTTTAATTAAAGGTGTAATTAAAAGCAAATTGTATTAAATAGCAGAATTTTCACTAGTGATATTTTTATGAAAAACCCTTGACGGTCGGCCACATAGCACACTCTGTAAAGCAAAGGCTTAAAGGGAAAGATCTTAACAAGGAGCTACAATAACAAAAAAAAAAAAAAACAGGATGACAGCTGGACAGCATAAGCCCAAAACACAAAGTCTCAGCACTAAACTTCATTTTGCAGTCTGTGTCTGGTTTATTTTATGTCTACGGTTATGCAACAGACCTTTTTGATTACCAAAATCTGATGGCAAAAGTTCAAAGTTAATAGCACACATCGGCACAAAACAATACCACATGCTTACATAACATGTAACAGCATAATTTCAGCATTATCGTTTAATTACGGGTTTGGATGTGTATAAACAACTGGATCCATCCCCTCCCTTAACCGTGTTTCTGTCCTACACCTCCTCATTACGATGAGAAAAAAAATAACAAGCTGGCAAGATTCACTGTACATACTGTACAAATAATGTGGCAAAGTGCCCAGACTGGATCTCTGCCAGGCTTGAAATGTAACAGTTGAGACACATATGAGACTGGAAAGGGAAGTGGGAAGTCGGGGATAACCAAACACTGCGTCACTAATAGAAGTGCAATGTTCCATCTGTTACAGCAGGTTAAGCGTGCGGTACATGGTGGACAAACACAGGGCAACAGGGGGCTGACATTTGTTGCACAACAGCCATCACGTATCACTTGCGCAATAACACTGTAATCTATGCTTTCTTCCTTATCGGGACAACATTCATGCGTGATCATGGTATTTATGGGAGGGTTTACCTGAATGAGACAGCATGTGCATCCTCAGTCGTAAACTGTCCAGGAATTGCTTTCCGCAGAACTCACAGCCAAAGGTCTTCACTCCACCGTGCAACTTCCTGTGGATTAAACATATATTGATAGATTATATGTTTCAACTATACACAGTAACTACACACTTTGAGAGGGTCAGACCTGGTCATTTTCTTGACCTTGATGTCAACAAGGTCGTAAAAAGTAAAACAGATAAAGTAAACCAGATGGTAAAGTAATAGTTATTTATTTCTTTGCCCAGCAAGAATTCAGTGAAATGACTGATGCCCATGAGTGTGTTAAATCGATGTTTCTACTTCTAATGTTCCAAGAGAAAAGTTTTTGATGGGCATGATAACGTATGTGAGGAGCTAAAGGGATAGTTCACCCAAAAATAAAAATTCTGTCATTAATTCCTCACCCTCATGTCGTTCCAAACCAGTAAGACCTTCGCTCATCTTCGGAACACAAATTAAGATATTTTTGATGAAATCCCAGAGCTTTCTGACCCTGCATAGACAGCAACGTAACTACCACGTTCAAGGCCCAGAAAGGTAGTAAGGACATTGTTAAAATAGTCCATGTGAAATCAGTGGTTCAACCATAATGTTACAAAGCTACGAGAATACTTTTTGCACATTCACAAGAGTACCACGATGCATGAGGGTGAGTAATTAATGACAGAATTTTCATTTTTGGGTGAACTATCCCTTAAATTATGTTTGATTTTTGGGTATTATAAAACATGCTTGAGACTTAAAAATGCTTTTTTTGCGTAGTTTATTATATCTATTTTACAGAACGAAGTTTAATGCATGGTTTAAATTACATGTTACTAAGAGACAGGACACAGTGACAGGAAAAGTTCACTCAAGAATTTATGACTTTCATCATTTGATAAGTGCATGAACAAGATCTAACAGTTACATTGCAAGAGGAAATTTTCAGTGCATAAAAATATCAGAAGACTGTTTGCAGGAGTACATATAATGAAAGAGTCTTATCGACTACTTTTATGGTGCTTTATTGACGGCTTGAATTAATTGAATAAAGCCCTGCAACATTCTCCTAAACATCTCCTTGTGTGTACAGCGGAAGAAAGAAAGCATTTAGTTAAACTATTCCTTTAAAGTTAAAAAAAGCACTTTTATTTAGGAATGCAGCTTCATAAATCCACGCTTGAAATTCTAAACACGCCTGCGCCTGTGGCTCATAGTTTATTTTGATGATACTCTCGACAGGGTGCTGTGAAAGGTTTAGGGCACATACTTCAAAGACTCCAGGCACTCGAAATATTCATCAAGCAGGTCTGAATCAATTAGGCCTAATACAGCAAAAGCTGTTAATGAACTGAATACCATATGCCATCATCATCTGATGCTTAAAATAAACCTAGACCTGGATTCAAGAAATGCAACTTTGCCTATAAAACCAGCGTCTGTAATGGAACTAGCTTCAGCAGAGCTATGAAATATTTACCATCCAGACATAGTGACCCATGCAGTGGCTTGAGAGAAAACATTTATGGCTTTGTTTTATCAAAAATTAAACACGCCTCAGAAAAAGGGTACACAAAGAACCTGAACAAATATATACACACCATTGCAATGAAGTAGGTACAGCCGTGAGTGAACCATAAGGCCCAAAACCACCCGTCAAAGTCAAACATGCCTTTTGTCCTTTTCATTTGTCCTCTCGCTCTAAATATTAGTTCTAATTAAAACGTATTAAATGCTCCTGAAATACCCCGGCAGTTTGGTATGTTTAACTGAGTCACACTGTACATATCAACGACTCGGCGCGTGCGCTGCATCAACGAGCAGTAGAGCGAACCCGCCGCAGACGTAACCTTTATTCCTGCTATAGAGCCCTTAATTATCACTGCTCTGTAACCGGGGCGCTGTCAGACATGCACAGGCTCATTATGAACAGGGGCATATTATTTCACCTTCAACAAAAGCTATTAAAGCAAACTCTCGCTACCACCAGGAACGGTTGTTGTAAAATATTAATTCCAGGACATTCTGTTGAAGATCATTCAGAGTAATGGAAGCGAATTAGCTTTCTATTCGAATTCAAAGAGTCAACACCCTCAGGTATATGGTCATTTTATTTGACCGAGGATGTTTGTGCCATTCGGTTGAGGGCGCAGACAGAATGCGTTAGCTGCATTTCACAATCTGTAGCATCTGCTGCGTCGTCCCCCTTTGCAGCCACAACACAGGGTCTGAAATAGACCGGCTGACAGAGCCCAGCCTCCCATAAGCAATATCCACTCAACCGCAGTGGACACGCTGAGCACCGCTGTCGGCAGCCAACAGACGTTATCTACAGATTTGTGTGTTTTCTGGAAAAATACTAGTGGTATCTTACTGAATGCTGCCTTGTGGCTCGAAAATTACATATTATTGTGCAGCTAAGCTTTGAAAACACTGTACAATAATGACACAGCTTTTTAACAGTACCACATTAATGCAGATGGACGACTACCTGAGGCCTGTTTCATAAAGTGTGCTAAGAAAAGCAGGGATTTAAGTCCAAAACCTGACTTGAAATAACCTAACAAATCAATCGGGGCTAAAGGGGTTCCATAAATGACAATTTAAGTTCTCAAGATATTTTGATGTGCACGCTATTCTTAAGCAGCCCTTAATGTCGGTCATGGAACAAATCGATCCACCACGGCAAACAGTGAATATATTTGTGCTGTTTAATGCATTTGAGATGTTGTGTTTTCCTCGGTGCATGACTGACATGTCACAGGTATATTCGTCATCTGTAAATGTTAGAAAGTCATGCAAATATATCCATTTTGCTGTCAAGAGTGGGCTAGGCTTATGCTGTGTGCACGCGCACTAAACAGATGAAGCGCAATAGAATAGGGAGAGCAAAACTTCTACGTAAAATATACATTTTGCTATAATATTTGTTGTTGGATATTAAATGTGTCTCATGTAGAATTTTAAACCTACACGTAAGTGTATTTCTATGATAGCAGTAACTGTAAAAGGACTATTGCAATGGGTAAACCAAATATAAACTAATACAGTTCTAATTGCTAAGCTCAAATTAGTTAATGCATGCGCCACTTCCTAGTTAAAATGTAGTCTATTTTTAATTTAGTGATTTTAACTTTTAATTTAATGATTTTAATGCTTCAATGGACAATTTTAGATTGCAATGTTCTAATGTTTTACTAATAGCCATAAAAGCTACAGCTGTCATAAAACCAGAGAGAAAGGCTGCATGGCTAGAAACTGCTGATCAACTGAATGTGCAAGTAGCAACCATGTTAAAATGTTTTCATATATCTTAAAACAATGTCATAAAATCGTGGGCACAATATATTAAACACATTCAGTTATAGCCTATATTTTTATTTATTTGATTTATTATTTAAGTTGCATTTTCTGTATACTTTTATTTTTGGAGTGATAGTGGTTAATAAAGCCAAATAATTGTATGTGAGAGTGTCAGTGGTAATATCATTGTGTTCCTATTGGTCAGTGTTAGAGGAACTCAAGCTTAGCCTGACAGTTAGCTTGCCATGGACCAAGTTAGTTTCCCAGCATAAGTTGCCACAGTGACTGAGCTTGACCTATGTTAAGCTTGCTTTATGGAACCAAATCATTTGACAATGAATCAGACTGACAAAATAAGTTTACCAAATAAGCCAGGCTTATTTCAATGAAATAGGCCTCAGATTATTGAGGTTAACTAGTGTGTTTATCTAGATTATTCCCTTTGTTTAGCTTTATATAGCTAAGAACGCTGCTTTTAAAAAGATGTATTTAAAGATGCAGCTTCTCTAGTGGGGTTTAGCATGCTAGTAGTATGCTTTGCTTCATCCAATTTAAAGCATTGGCTCTATATCCATCAAAACACCTCTTCTGTCATGAATTGTAAGACAATTACCCCACCAAAATTCACTTTTGCAGTTTTTTAAGGTCTCACTGTTTTTTTCAGTGTCACGCGCCATGAGCGCTGCATTTTTAATTAACTAACTTCTTAATTTAAAAACAGCTTAATTTTTTTTTAAAACAAGCTGTGATGTATTTCATCCAGCAGTTATTTTAATTTATGCTGCGCAACGCTGAACTCATACGTCATCTGCCCGGAGCTGCTTCCGTTTAGGACTGTTGGCGCAAGCTACATTAAAGTGATTATTACGTTTTGAATATGGATATTTTTCTTACAAAAACGCATCGATTCGCTACAGGAGGCCTTTGTTCACCCCCTGGAGCCGTGTGAGACACTTTTTTTATGGATGGGTAAAATTTTATTTAACTTCTTGTGGACTGATGCATGTAACACCCACTGAGTGGCATTAAACAGCTTGAAGGATCAAAGGCAATTTTTAATATAACTCCGACTGGATTCGTCTGAAAGAAGAAAGTCATATACACCTAGGATGACTTGAGGGTGAGTAATTTATGGGCTAATTTTCATTTTTGGGTGAACTAACCCTTTAAGAAAAAGTATCTGATTTGGTCTGGCGGATGTCCTTAGAGGGACAGTTCACCCAAAATTCTGTCATCATTTACTCTGTTGCTCTAAACTTGCACAACTTTCTTTCTTCTGTGGAACACATCTTATTTTGTGTTGACTTTTTACAAGAAGGTTGTAGGTTTGGTGAAGCTCTTTAAGAGAGAATAGTACACCCACCAACTACCACCAACTAGTCCGGTTTGCATGTCCCTACTACAGCTTACTTTATAATGTGAATGCTTCGGATAATACACAATTGAATATTTACTTTTCATCTAAAAATGTTAATTGTGAGTAGCTAATATTAGTTTATGTATCGTCAAACCTGTCTAGCAATTTATTTGCTCCGTAACAAGTGCACCTTTCAGAAACCTCCCTTTAATCTTATTCCCTCTGTCCACTTGAAAGACACGAAAGATTGAACAAAACTGATCTGAGATGTGGGGAAATACCTGGTAAATGGAACAATGAGAGGAAAATCAATACTACTCGTCTCGATCCCAGTCAAAACAGATCCCAGTCATTGTCAAAGCAAATCCAAATAGACAGAGACATAAAACATCATGACAACTCACTACATTATTTATATAGTCTAGTT